TAGATACCATATTTCTAAGATTTTTAGGGCCGAGTACAATAACCTCAGTTTTATCTGAATTAAGAAGCAGAAAGTTAGCGGCCATCCAGGTCTTTATGTCTTTAAGACATTCCTGCAGTTTAACTAATTGGTGTGTGTTATCTGGCTTCATGGATAGATAAAGCTGGGTGTCATCTGCATAGCAGTGAAAATGTATGCTATGTCTTCTAATGATGCTGCCTAGGGGAAGCATGTATAGTGTAAACAGAACTGGTCCTAGCACCAAACCCTGTGGACCTCCATAACTGACCTTAGTGTGTGAAGAGGACTCTCCATTTACATGCACAAATTGGAGTCTATTAGATAGATATGATACAAACCACTGCAGCACAGTACCTGTAATACCTACAGCATGTTCTAATCGCTCTAATAGAATATTATGGTCAACAGTATCAAATGCTGCACTGAGGTCTAGCAAGACAAGCACAGAGATGAGTCCACTGTCAGAGGCCATAAGAAGATAATTTGTAACCTTCACTAAAGCTGTTTCTGTGCTGTGATGAGCTCTGAAACCTGACTGAAACCCTTCAAATAAGCCATTCCTCTGCAGATGATCTGTTAGCTGTTTGACAACTACTCTTTCAAGGATTTTTGATATGAAAGGAACTGGTGGTTGCTGACTGTATCTAAGCAGTTGTAAAACAACAACTGTTGAACTGTTGAACCTTGCACATTCCAGTGAGTAAAGTCAGTGTCTTCAGTGCACACTGTGGGCAATCAAGGCAAACTGCTAACAAGAAAAGCAATCACAAGGCAGTTGTTGGTGCCAGCACCCTCTTTGCAGACAATTTCACCCAGCTTCTGCCAGCAGCAACTGCTTAGGAATATACATTTTTGACTAACGGTGTGTTCACACCGAACGCGATGGACACAAACAAAAACGCCCCAAACGCCCCTAATTTGACGCGTGCACATTCGCGCCTCAACGCGTGTCCAAGAATCGCCCGCCTAGACACCAATTATAGGCGCTCAATCCCACCTGCAGAGCGCCTGTCCGTCTGCCTGAGGTTAGTAAAAGTATTTAATACGGTAGTCCTTTATTGATACCTGTGCTAATATGCTAAACCATCCATTTATACACTGCTAACATGGATGTGCTATGCTAACAGTGAATGCTCTCAGTGTTTACTGAAAGCAAACTGTGGTATCGAGACGACTGTTTATAATATTTCTAGTGATACTCAGGTCTCATCAAGTCCTGATTTAATTCGATTTATGCTGTTATCAGTGTTTGCAATGATAGCATGGCTGTGGTGTCCTATGAATGTATGCGCTCGGTGTTTGCTGATATGAAACTGTAGCATTAGGACCACTAAGTTAACCTTTGTAGTGATACTCCCTCCTTTTTATTTAGACCTGGTTTAATTCTGGGATAGTTGAATATTTGTATATAATCACCGCAGACTGTTTTAGATTATATCTAATATATATCATGTAATTATCCTTATAATTACAAAATGTTTTATGTAAGATTTATGTTTTGTAATTTGTAATTTTGTAATTTGTAATTTTGTAATTTCAATAATGTATTTTGTAACTGCAGTACACATAATACTCATTTTAAACAATTTTGTCCAGGCTCCTTGCCACCGGGGACTCTTTCAGGACCATCGCGTTCAGTTTTCGAGTTGGTGTGTCCACAGTGTGCCAGATCATCCCCCAGGTAGCGACGGCCATCTGGGACTGTCTAGTGGACGATTTCATGGCTGCACCTTCACCTGGAGACTGGCGGTCCATCACAGAGGGATTCCAGGAGCGCTGGAACTTCCCTCTGTGCTGTGCAGCTCTGGATGGGAAGCACGTCCAGACAAAGGCACCCCATATATCATATAGGAGACACACACATTGATATACACTAAATATTTATTCCATTTCTTTTTTTGTGGTGCCCAAATTGATGCACCTGCTTGATTTTGTTTAAACAATTATTGCACACTTTCTGTAAATCCAGTGAACTTTTCACTTCTCAAATATCACTGTGTGTGTCTCCTGTATGATATATTTAACTGACGTTTTTTTATTGTAACAACGATTTATACAGGAAAATGATGTCTATTAACAAGGTTGCCCAAACTTTTGCATCCCACTGTATTAGTATATTTTGTCATTAGTATAATATGAAATAAATTCTACATGTGTCAAGTCGTGTGCCAACATTTGCTGTGTAGTAGAACTGAGACATTAGTCATTATAAAAATTTATTTGAAATAATATTAAAATTCTCAAACAGAAAAACATTAAACATGAATATATAAAATATAAGTATTTACAGAGAGACAGGAATAAAAAGGACCAGCTGCTCTCCAGTGCAGGAACAAGGCTGAGGAGGAAATGCTCCATTGGAGACTGGTGTGGCCTCTTCAGGGACACCAGGATGGCCAGCTCCACCACCGATGGACCGTCCTGGGACCCGTCCCTCATCTGCCTCGGAGCCGTCCTCCTCTGTGGGCCTGTAAAACAGCACAAAACACAAAGAAATGAGAAGACTGCTACTAGATTTTAATTTCAACATCGAAAAAAAACAAACAGGATATAATCAGATAGGTTGAAGACATTTAGTAAAGGTGATCACAAGGCAATCCCACCGAGTAAAAAGCTATCAGTGCTTGCTGTACATCTGATGCTACAGTTACATACCTGTGGTGCAGCAGCAGGAGCTCAGGGACTGGGGAGCCAGGAGAAGCTACAGGGGATGCTCTGCTGCAGAATCAGTTGGTTCTATCAATACAATATTACATGTTAACAGGTTGAATATAATAATCATAGAGTAGACAGTGGTCCCTCATTTATTGCAGCAGGGGTTCTCAGAATAACTAGCCCCTCACCACGCACTTTGTACACTTTTTTCCCCCACACACATGAACATTGGTCACAGTTCTCACAATTGATTCTCAAAGTGCAAACCTTTGTAGATTGCAAAACGTAAAAGTATTATTATGCCGTGGTTTGTCTTCATCTGCCTGCCACTTTCGTGCGCCTTTTTCCCTCGGGGTGCAGGTGTCTATTTCCGAATGAGGGTCATAGTTATGGGTGTTTTGTGCTGTTTTTTCTATTGGACGTGATGGTTATCAAAACCCAACGTGATAAATCTGGCAAGCGCAGGCGACACGACACGGAGCAGATTTGTCAATCAGGCTGCAGAATGCAATGCTGTATGGTGCAAAAAAAAAAAAATCTGCGAAAAAGCAAAGCAGTGACGGATGAGCGGGACCACTGTGTGCTGTTTATTAATAAACAATAAAATATATTCCTAAATGACAACATGCATAAAAGCAGAACGGTATTTGTACGTCAGTGGGAAAATAGCGGTGGCTTGCTAGCTTTTGTGCGGCTTCCCCGGGTCAGCGAAAACTTTCAAAAGTGAAATGAATGAACTTACCAGGTTGTCCGATCTCTTCACATATCTTCCTCCAAGCTCGGTCCTTTTTATTCCTGTCTCGGTACAGAAAGCAGCTGGTGTTGTACAGCTCCGGGTTGTTTGCTACGGCATTGATTAGCCTTCCCTCCTTTGAAGTATGAAGGGCTTTGGCTGGATCTGCCCCTTTGACCTAGGTCACAGTCACGTCACCAGGCTCCTGATTGGTTGTCGTGGCGTGATTTGACGCTGGAGTTCAGATTTTTCCAACTCGAGTGGTAGACGCAAAACGCGCGTATGCACAAAATGCAACACAAAAACTCACGCGCGTGGTTTTATTCGCGAGTCAAACGCGCCAGACGCGCTACACTGACGCACGTTTCACGCGTTTTGGCGTTTTCGCGACGCAAATCTGCTTCCAAATTTTCACGGGACCCGCAATCGCGTGTCATCGCGCTTTTCCATTGACTTTACATGTAAACCTGACGCTCTATTCACGTCCATTGCGTTCGGTGTGAACACACCGTAAGGATCAGAGGTTGTCAGAGGGTTGCATACCAGTCTGTAGGCCTGTTTGACTGAGACCTAACATAAGCTACAACATGGCTAGCTTAGCAGTTTGTTAGACACAGGAACTGAGACTTCCCCATTGATCCGTTGTTTTGCAGTACTTCGCAACAACCATGTTTCCAGGTCTTCATTACAATACATCTAATCATCAGGGTCTATGCTTGTCCTCCAGTCTAGTAAATCACTGCAAAAAGGATAGAGGAACTGTCTTGTGGTACTATACAGCAACTACACTAAATTTGAAAAACTAAAACAGAAACACAGAAAAATTGACACCAAGGCAAGATGTCTTTTTCAAATCGCCAACCTTACTTTTAATCTGTTGCTCAAGAATAATATAACAGGTTGAAATAGACCACTTTTTTACATTCATGTAGTGGTATTCAAACTGTATATTTTTAAGATAGTACTCATTGCCCATATTCAGTAGCCCAACCTTGGGAGCAAGTTTTCATCTGTACATACATATGTAAATATGTAAATGCCATAACTGTAGAAATAAAGAGATGCTGTTTGAGGCAGTCCTGGAGGTTCATCTTTACCCAGCACTGAAATAAAACACACCTTGGAGGGTTAAAGCTACAATATATCAGCTCATTACAGGAGACAGAAGGTACGATCCAAGGTGGTGTTTAGTATGGACATCATTATTCTCCTTCTGCCGCTGCCTCCAGGCTCAGCTCTTTGATAGAAAGTGAAATTACATATGAAAACTTTTTCAATTACATATTGAACAGTTCTGGTCCTCAACCTGTCAGTGAGCAGGGAGTTCTTTAATCTTTGTGTAATTATTTCTGTTCACCGCCCAATCTGAAAGAGCCCAAACTTGTAACAAGAAACCTGTAACCTAATTTTCTAATTCTCATCCATTACACACCTTATACTTCATATACACCTCCAACACCTCCATCCACTGTTACCTTTCTTTGACCTTTGACCTGTCAACCTGTGCATGTGACAGTCTCTGCCTGCTCCACCCTCAACGCCTTGCTCAGTCCCCTCCGCCACTCCTGTCTCTTCCCCTCCCCCCACTCAGGTTGGTGACCAGATCTTGGAGGTGAATGGCCGCAGTTTCCTGAGCATCCCGCACGATGAGGCCGTCAGAGTCCTGAAGTCATCACGCCATCTGATGATGACAGTGAAAGACGTAGGCCGCCTGCCGCACACCAGGACGGTGGTGGGTGAGACCAAGTGGATCGCCAGCTCACAGATTGCAGAGAGCTCTGCCAATAGCAGCGTGGCAAGGTAAGTCCTGACAGTCCCAAAATTATATGATGGTTTTGAAAAAGATGACTTTCTGATACTGCATGAAATATTAAACAGCCCTTTTATACTCATTTCCAGATTCCAGCTATTTTTATTCTTGCAATATAGTAAAGTAGATTTACATGAGTCAGCTAAAAAAAAATCCTCAATCATCTTGGGATTTGCAGCCCTTCAGTTCGCATACTGTCAAAAACAAGAAATTTTAGCCCTTTTCCCCTTAAAGCTATCCTCCCTATAAGCTGACTTTTTGCCTAGTTGTGTCCTTTTTGACCGAATCGTTTCTGGAATCCAAATTGGGAAGTCATTCCACAGAAGAGGATCAAGGCTCTACTAGGCATTCTACTTTAAGAAAATCTGTTGGCATAATATCATCACAACGAGCCAAAAGGACCCAATGAGCAGACTCACAAAAAATGAAAACAGTGAAAGGATTTTATGTAAAGTTAAACAAAAACTTAAAATAATGAATCGCTACTGGTACAGATTTAGCGGGGTGATCTGAAAGAGGGTGAAAACCAGCGTTAGAAATAAAGAAGTGGCTGTAACTAAATGAAACAACAGGAACAAATGGGGAGACGAGATGGCGATAGAGAGTAGGCAGGCAGGTGAGCTAGGAAGCCAGGTGGGTTAATGCAGGAAGCTTAAGTTTTGCAAAGTGTAGTTCTTCTCTGAAGCCAAATATGGTTTTGTGGGTCCAGAGAGAGCCAGATGACTGAAATATCACAGGAAAACAAGGTTTTCTTGAAGCACAGGGGAAAACAAAAGGGAAAAACAGAACCAGCCCCAACCAGATTAGGCTTAAAACTTTCCTTTTTGATAAAGCTTACAGTTAAGACTGGATCCGGTGACCCAGAAACCTCCTGTAGTTACGCTGCAATGGGCCTAGGCTGCTGCAGGCTTCCAATGATGCAACCAAGTGTGTCTTCTTCACTCACCTCTTTTCCCTCTCTATGTGTTATACACCAGTTTGCATTTAATTAGTAGTTATTATTAAAGTCAGACTCTCCTTTATGATGCATCTTTTGTTCTATGTCCCTTCCCTCACCCTCAACCAGTCGCAGCAGATGGTTGCTCCTCCATTAGCGTGGATCTGTCAGGTTTCTTGAGGTTGAGGTTTCTTCCTGTTAAAAGAAAGTTTTTCCTTCACACCGTTGCCAAGTGTTTACTCTTTGAATCCTGAACTGAAGGATTTTCATTGAGCTTTTAGAAAAGTAACAAAAAGGGAATAATAGTAGTCCAGCCTCATGCCGAAGACATGGCCTAGTTTTTCAGCATCACTGTATCTACAGTGGCTTGGAAAAGTATTGAACTTTTCCACATTTTGTCACATTACAGCCCCAAACATGAATCAATTTTATTGAAATTCCACGTGAAAGACCAATACAAAGTGGTGTACACGTGAGAAGTGGAACGAAAATCATACATGATTCCAAACCTTTTTTACAAATAAATAACTGTAAAGTGGGGTGTGCGTAATTATTCAGCCCCCTGAGTCAATACTTTGTAGAACCACCTTTTGCTGCAATTACAGCTGCCAGTGTTTTAGGGTATGTCTCTACCAGCTTTGCACTAGAGATGGCACAATACCACTTTTTTATGTCCCATACCGATATCATAAATTTGGATATCTGCCGATACTGATATAAATCCGATGTAGCGTATTTTATAATCAATAAAATGGGTTTTTTTTTAAAATATCTTGCTACATTTTGTATAAGTTCATACTCAAGTTTAAAAAACAAAACAAAACTAAAGCTATTCTGTTAAACCTGTATGTAAAAAATACACTGCACCCAAAATATTTCATGGATCAGCAATACTGATCAATCCAGTAAACTTAAACCTACTCAATCCTCCGTATTCTGGTATTTTAAGAGTACTTAGTGGAAATATTAAGCAACCTAACTAATAGGGTCGCCAACTCCGAACAAAAAACCCCCCAAAAATAGGGAACCACCCCCCACCCTCTGGCTCATAATGCTTTACAGACATTCAGAGGTGAATTTACACACTTGCTTTACTTCTCTCTGGGATAACTTTGTCGGAGATTAAATGCCGATTTGGTAGTGAGCTCCAAATGCTCAACCAGACCGCCGACAGGTCTCGCAAGCCACAGCCGCTCTATCACATGACGCATACTGCTCCAACGTGCTAAGGTTATGAGCTGGGTTACACCATGTCGCAAGTTTTGTGAGGTGCTTTTGTGATATTGAATGGATCGAATTACATTTTTTATTTCTCTCCAATATCCGACCCAGTAATTTAGGTCATTATCGGACCGATACGTAATATCGGATCGGTCCATCTCTACTTAGCACATCTAGAGACTGAAATCCTTGCCCATTCTTCTTTGCAAAACAGCTCAGTCAGATTAGATGGACAGCATTTGTGAACAGCAGTTTTCAGATCTTGCCACAGATTCTCGATTGGATTTAGATCTGGACTTTGACTGGGCCATTCGAACACGTGGATATGTTTTGGTTTAAACCACTGCATTGTTGCCCTGGCTTTATGTTTAGGGTCGTTGTCCTGCTGGAAGCTGAACCTCTCAAATCTTTTGCAGACTCCAAGAGGTTTTCTTCCAAGATTGCCCTGTATTTGGCTCCATCCATCTTCCCATAAACTCTGACCAGCTTCCCTGTCAATGCTGAAGAGAAGCACCCCCAGAGCATGATGCTGCCACCACCATATTTGACAGTGGGGATGGTGTGTTCAGAGTGATGTGCAGTGTTAGTTTTCCGCCACACATAGCGTTTTGCATTTTGGCCAAAAAGTTCCATTTTGGTCTCATCTGACCAGAGCACCTTCTTCCACATGTTTGCTGTGTCCCCCACATGGCTTGTTGCAAACTGCAAACAGGACTTCTTATGGTTTTCTGTTAACAATGGCTTTCTTCTTGCCACTCTTCCATAAAGGCCAACTTTATGCAGTGCACGACTAGTAGTTGTCCTATGGACAGATCCCCCACCTGAGCTGTAGATCTCTGCAGCTCGTCCAGAGTCACCATGGGCCTCTTGGCTGCATTTCTGATCAGCGCTCTCCTTGTTCGGCCTGTGAGTTTAGGTGGACGGCCTTGTCTTGGTAGGTTTACAGTTGTGCCATACTCCTTCCATTTCTGAATGATGGCTTGAACAGTGCTCCGTGGGATGTTCAAGGCTTGGGAAATCTTTTTGTAGCCTAAGCCTGCTTTAAATTTCTCAATAATTTTATCCCTGACCTGTCTGGTGTGTTCTTTGGACTTCATGGTGTTGCTGCTCCCAATATTCTCTTATGCTGGGCTTACACTGTGCGATTTTTTTCAGTCGCGCGATTCAGCTCCTGCTCAAACTGTACAATTGACTCGCAGGGATTAGAAGTTCATAGGTCACGATGCAGGTCTCACACTATATGGCCCGATGCTCTGATGCGACCTGAGTGCTCACACTGTGCGTCCATAAAATGAAGGTTATAACAGAAATTCTGTCGCTCTCCCTCTCTGTCTTTCACTCACACAGACACACCACCACCATCAACTTTGCTAAATTGCTAATGAAAAACATTGATCAGGCAGCTGTGATTGAGCAGCGATGTAAATCCAACTATTTTCACAGTTGTTGTGGTCGTGATAATTTTGTGAGGCCACATCGAAAAGGCTCGGATGAGCTTTCCAAAGTTCTACAAGTTGTGCCTCCATCGCTTGTGTCCAGATCACACGCTACACTGCCGTGCTGCGTTGTCTTTTTCGCTGACATTTGTGTTTGCACGTGCGCAGTGTGAAAAGCTGCGGTGACAGCCTCACGACCAAGCGATTGATGATCGGGAGCTGGTCGTGAGATGTTAATCGCTTCTCGATGCACGATGAAGGCCAAAATCGGGCCGATCGCCAAAACGGTCGCACAACTCAAAAATCATCTCAAAATGGGCCAAAAATCACACAGTGTGAGCCCAGCATTAGACAACCTCTGAGGCCGTCACAGAGCAGCTGTATTTGTACTGACACTAGATTACACACAGGTGCACTCTATTTAGTCATTAGCACTCATGTCTATGGGCAACTGACTGCACTCAGACCAAAGGGGCTGAATAATTACGCACACCCTACTTTGCAGTTATTTATTTGTAAAACATGTTTGGAATCATGTATGATTTTCGTTCCACTTCTCACGTGTACACCACTTTGTATTGGTCTTTCACGAGGAATTCCAATAAAATTGATTCATGTTTGTGGCTGTAATGTGACAAAATGTGGAAAAGTTCAAAGGGGCCGAATACTTTTGCAAGCCACTGTAGTTTTGTTGGTCCGAGCTGTTTGTTTAGTATACATATTAAAGAACATATTCTGGCCAAAAATGACTCCTCATAGTAGTCCTGGATGCCAGCATGTTTCTGAGATTCTTTTCTAGATCTCACTCTTGTTATGACAAAGTTAAACTGAGCCATTACTTTAAGCCAGGCACAGAGTTAAGCTTAGCCTGCAGTTCCCATGTATCAGTTGATAAAAGCCAATCTCAACAGAAGAAGCTGCTTAGCTAATACCCTGGCTGATACCCATTTTTGCACTGATATGGCAAATCTCATCGATTCATCCATTTTCTGCTGCTAATCTGGGTTGCAGGGGCCATAGTCTAAGCAGAGATTCCCAGGCCTCTTTCTCCAGCCACCTCCTTCATATCTTTTGAAGACACTGGGGTGTTCCCAAACCAGCCAAAAAACATACTGTAGTCCTTTCAGCCTTTCTTGGGTGTGCCTTGGGGTTTCCTTCCAGTTGGTTATGTCCCAACACCTCATATAAGGGGCATTCAGGAGGCCTAGCAGTTAAATGCACGAACCACCTCAAAGGGCTCCCTCCTGCAAAGTGGAGGAGTAGCACCCACCAAAATGACCTTAACGTATGTCTAAGGAAGAGCCAGGCTACCCTTTGAAGCTCCTTGTATCTGGAATCTCATTCTTTCAGTCACTATTCACAGCTCATGATCATACATGACAGTGGGAACGTAGACTGACCGGTTAATCGACAGCTCCTCTTTCAATCTCAGCTTCCTCTTCACCACAGCAGGCTGGTACACTGTCTGCATCACTGCAGACAGTGTACCAATTCATCAATCTCCTGCTCCCTTCCCTTTCTGTGCTGATCTTCCTGACTTTCTATGTATGAAGGGTGGCGAGGTCTCTAAACAGACCAAATATAAATTAATCAACATATAAGTGACCACCTTGTTTTGATTTAAAGAAACCAGTCCAAACATCAACTGTGTTTGTGTGTCATACAAACAGTATGACACAACATACCAGTTTGTGTGTCATTTGTTTGATTTGTGCAAAAACCAGAGCATGAAAGCCAACACAGCCTGGAGTCCATCCGGGGCTGCCTGATGACGAGGCTCACTGTATTGACAGTCTTTTTGCTTCAGTTATCTGTCCCATATTTATATCCGCTATTAAACATTCAGACATGAGAGTGATATCAATCCTCTTACAATATCTTCTCCTCGGAGTAGACTTACTTTCCGCGGTGAGCAGTCATTCAGCTGAAGTGTAGTTCGTGCTGTGAGTCAGTGCTAAAGGAGAGTAGTAGCAGTTCACGGATCAATGGCTTAGTGGTTGCTGCTGTGATGCTCCGTGTTTCATAATGTGTTTTTAAATGACTAAATGAGGGTTTATTACTTGTTCTCAACACTGCATGCAAAACACTGAATATTACTCAGCCACATTAATATTTTTTTATTAGCTTCAGAGGTTTACATGAAGTACCTTTGATGCACGTGTCACAGAAGGTTTAGCATTTTAGTGTATGCATTATACACTAGATTTCACCAGGGAATCTGCTATAGAAGATTTGATTTAATGAAAAACGTGATCATAAATAATGAACTGATAATTGTTATGTTTTAGGGTTTTAGTGTTAACACTGGCCTGTGGAAAAACACAGTGTCATTAGATTGATTGGCCTGGGATTCACTAAATCTACCTTAGTGCAGGTACCAAAGAGAAACTGAAAATCTATAATTATCAACACAACAGAAACTTTTAACAAAAAAAAATACTGCTACTACTATTAATAGTAGTAGTAAATCAAAAGAACTTGAGCTAAATGACGCACTGAGTTTCTCATTTCTTGCTACTACTATTAATAATAACAATAGTAAATATTCAAACTATTCTACATTCAGTGATGAAAACAGACACAAGGAACAACTTGAAACCTGAGACACCTACAGCTCAGAAAAGAAAGAGAACATGATGAAGTGCAGAGAAAACATCCTGTTGGTCTCTGATGAATTTTAGCGTCTTTAAGCATTTAATGTATTCAGACGTCTGACTTCTGGCGGGACTCCCACCCCCTCCAGTGTGGAGCTCCTCTCTAAATGCCACACCTGAACAACTCATCTGCAGCTCACAACCTGGAATTAATGTGCTCACCAACAACCAAATTAAAATCTGATGTAAATGCCAGACTGATTTTTCTCATCAACTCCGTAGCACACAACACATCGACCCAACAACCCAGAACTTGAAAGTGCTCTGATTCACCAAGGGCTAAACAAAAATCTGTTTACATTCACAATGAATATCTGCTCATTCCTCCCATCTGAGACGTCTCTTCATGGTTATTATGTGGGTTCTTGCAGCTCAGCTGTGAGGTAGATGTTTATACTTTGTGTTCACTGGTTTCTGTACGATATCTCTCTGTGAAACCATTAAGACATAGCTGAAACTACATGTCATTTTGGTTTGACTTAAACAGACTTTTCTCATTTTAATAAATCTACATAAATGCAATGAGTGCATTTACATAATTTTCACACAGTGTCTTAATAACATCAAAAGAAGAAGGTGGAACATGCACCACGAGGCAGGGAAAAATACTAAAAACTCAAATACTAAAGATGTTTTTCCCTCTCTTCACTCATCTCTTCAGCATATTGGTTGCATGTATTTCCATAAATTCCATAGGTGAATTTCCATCAAGGTTTTTAATTCAGTTTCACTTTTCTTACATTTTTATGAATATGGATTATGCTCAAGCAGGGATAATAAACAGGAATCCAGTAAATGTTGATCATTCCATGCATCATTTACATTTATAATTAAATTAATAGTTGATAGTGATCATTTTAGCTTATATGCTTCCATGATGAGTTTTCCCTTTCATCACCATAATTTTTATAGATAAAATGAGACTGATTGTTTTTCCCCCTTCTTGCTGATAATATAGTAGAAGCTTCTTCTATTGTCATCACCCCAGCAGGAAGCCCCACATGTTTAATTTGGCAGATTTGCACACGAGAATCCCATTCCTGATGCAACTCCATGAGGATCTTATCAAACCAGGGATCTGATACAACAGTGCTGCAATATGTTTCACTTTACATTTAGCTTGGATCCATGATTATTTTTACTGATTGCCAAAAATTGTAGCGTGTTGGGCGCTAACTTTTTTCGACTTGTGAAGTGGTACATGGAGGAAAAGTTTAAGAACCACTGCACATGACACATATCTGGCATTACAAAGAGAGCAGCCAAAGAGAAAACACAGGGAAAAAAACTTAAAGAAGAAAGAATAAATGGCTAAACTGGTCTCAGAAGTCCACTGGTCTTATTGAATTGAAATCCCTAAACAAGCTCTACACACTGTGTGTCTGTGTGTCACTGAGCGGTTGCACTGCAGTGTTTCCAGTTTAATTTTATATTCTGTTTTTTATTCCTGCTCCTGAAGGCAGTGCTGAGTTGTCACGTTTACTTGTGGATTTAGAGCCTTTTACATTGCCGGCACTTCAGAATGTAAAGACTCGAGTCATTTCACTCTAGTAGAGACGTGGTGCTGAGAAAATGACACATGTTTGAAAATCCCTCTTTTCATGTCCTTGAAGAGAGAGTGTGGGTGTTTTTCTTCCCCCCCCCAAAATGAATTTTAGTGTGTGCTTTATATTTACTGGAAAGCTTGGCCTGAAGACAAGCACGTCTTTACATTTCCTAGTGAAATGTCTTACTGCACAGCTGTTTCTGCCACATCTCTAAGCCATGACAAAGACTTCAAATCTCCAGTAGTGTGCATTTATCAGCCTGTGATAACTGAAAGATATTTTCAAAACTATATTAAAAAAAAAAGTGGCCTTTCAAGATATCAAATCCCCCTTTCAATTCAAAGCTCCAAATATATTTGTATTTGAGAGAGGAAGTACTTGAGCTGGAGAAACTGAGTTGCTATTAACTGTTTAGACAGGCTCAAAGTTTGCTCCTTTAATGCAGAAGAGCCCATTATGAGGATCTCTTGTGTGTGCACTCATCGTACTTGAACATCGGCATTGCTTGCCACTTTAACTTTGCTTTCACATCTATTTATTCCTATCAGTCAATACTGTCAAAAGGTATTTTCAGTCTGGAAAATTGGATCAAGTTTGCGTCATAAAGGAAATAAAGCGGCTAATACACATTTATCTGTCACTACATTAACCATTCTTTGATATTTGGCCATGTCACTCATCATAGCTTGCTTTGCACAGTTTGTTTTTATTCCTGCAGAAGTAGTCTGATGTTTAGGTTAATGTGTCACCGTCAGAAGTCAGAACTGTGAGGACATATTTAGGACATCTATAGGATCTGGCCAAACATTTGAAAGCATGGCAATACTTTGTGTCACACGAGACACATAAGCTTTACACTCATTGGAGAAGGGTGTGTACACATTTGCTGCAGTGTGCCTGCAACATCTACTAATGTGTGTTAATGTAGTGTTTGTTAGTGTATCTATAGATAATACGTAGGCATACTTTAGAAATATGTGGTGGAAGTGCTGCATTAATTGGCTGATTATTAATGCCTCATATTTGTCAGTTAAAGAATAAATATTTCTGCAAGGAAGGACAAGTGCATTTGTTTAATTTTTGCATGGTCACTAAGACTCAGTGATTTGTTTCTTCTCTTTGTTTGTTTCTCTGCAGCTTTTCTGTGGATCAAGGAGCTTCTGCATCAGGAAAGGTAAGACAAGTAATGTGCTCTTTCTATGTGCATGCACTGGAAGCTGTACACAGAAGCTATATATGTTTGTGTGCGTCTAGTATTTCATAGGTGGTATAATTTATTTCTGTGGCTGTCCTCATGGAATTATATGGAAGATGTTATGCATTTCTCTTAAACCTAACCTGTTTTTAGTGCCTAAACCAAACCAGTAATGGAAAATTAGATGAAGAAATAAATCAATAAAATTAGGTGAAAACCAAGAAAATCAACAAGCACAGAGGTCCCAAAACAGCACAAATTACAACCTCCTTACCATACAGGGAGTGCAGAATTATTAGGCAAATGAGTATTTTGTCCACATCATCCTCTTCATGCATGTTGTCTTACTCCAAGCTGTATAGGCTCGAAAGCCTACTACCAATTAAGCATATTAGGTGATGTGCATCTCTGTAATGAGAAGGGGTGTGGTCTAATGACATCAACACCCTATATCAGGTGTGCATAATTATTAGGCAACGTCCTTTCCTTTGGCAAAATGGGTCAAAAGAAGGACTTGACAGGCTCAGAAAAGTCAAAAATAGTGAGATATCTTGCAGAGGGATGCAGCAGTCTCAAAATTGCAAAGCTTCTGAAGCGTGATCATCAAACAATCAAGCGTTTCATTCAAAATAGTCAACAGGGTCGCAAGAAGCGTGTGGAAACCAGGCGCAAAATAACTGCCATGAACTGAGAAAGTCAAGCATGCAGCTGCCAAGATGCCACTTGCCACCAGTTTGGCCATATTTCAGAGCTGCAACATCACTGGAGTGCCCAAAAGCACAAGGTGTGCAATACTCAGAGACATGGCCAAGGTAAGAAAGGCTGAAAGACGACCACCACTGAACAAGACACACAAGCTGAAACGTCAAGACTGGGCCAAGAAATATCTCAAGACTGGTTTTTCTAAGGTTTTCTGGACTGATGAAATGAGAGTGAGTCTTGATGGGCCAGATGGATGGGCCCGTGGCTGGATTGTTAAAGGGCAGAGAGCTCCAGTCCGACTCAGACGCCAGCAAGGTGGAGGTGGAGTACTGGTTTGGGCTGGTATCATCAAAGATGAGCTTGTGGGGCCTTTTCGGGTTGAGGATGGAGTCAAGTCAACTCCCAGTCCTACTGCCAGTTTCTGGAAGACACTTCTTCAAGCAGTGGTACAGGAAGTAGTCTGCATCCTTCAAGAAAAACATGATTTCCATGCAGGACAATGCTCCATCACACGCGTCCAAGTACTCCACAGCGTGGCTGGCAAGAAAGGGTATAAAAGAAGAAAAACTAATGACATGGCCACCTTGTTCACCTGATCGGAACCCCATTGAGAACCTGTGGTCCATCATCAAATGTGAGATTTACAAGGAGGGAAAACAGTACACCTCTCTGAACAGTGTCTGGGAGGCTGTGGTTGCTGCTGCACGCAATGTTGATGGTGAACAGATCAAAACACTGACAGGATCCATGGATGGCAGGCTTTTGAGTGTCCTTGCAAAGAAAGGTGGCTATATTGGTCGCTGATTTGTTTTTGTTTTGTTTTTGAATGTCAGAAATGTATATTTGTGAATGTGGAGATGTTATATTGGTTTCACTGGTAAAAATAAATAATTGAAATGGGTATATATTTGTTTTTTGTTAAGTTGCCTAATAATTATGCACAGTAATAGTCACCTACACACACAGATATCCCCCTAAAATAGCTAAAACTAAAATCAAACTAAAAACTACTTCCAAAAACATTCAGCTTTGATATTAATGAGTTTTTTGGGTTCATTGAGAACATGGTTGTTGTTCAATAATAAAATTATTCCTCAAAAATACAACTTGCCTAATAATTCTGCACTCCCTGTATGTCCTGGACTCTTGTAAAGTTTTGTGGAGTTTAGGCTTTTTTTTGATATTCATATTTATTTGATTTATTAGTTTTGTTTCATTCTTGTATTTCTGATGTTAGATTTTTGTAAATGTGTCCAATGTTTCTCTTGTCTTTGTCTCCATCTGGTTTGTCTGTGTCATACTTTGTTTCTACTTCCTGTTTAATTTTAGACCTCAGTCACACAGGCCCACAGGCCAGTTGGCGAGTCCTTGGCAACCTCTGGTAGCTAGGAAAAATATTTGGATTCCCTAACTGGATGTAGAGTGATTGCTGGAGGCTGCTGGTTGTTGCCAGGTGAAACTGGTCACAAAGAGGGTGCTATACCAAAAGTCTACTTTTGATTGCTTTACTTGCCAGAACATTTCTGTGTTTGCCTGCAGTTTGCATGAAAACATGGGTTGTCTGCAAACACTGGCCATTTACTCACAATTAAAAGCTACGAGAAATGGAAAACATTTGCTGTCACAGTTAAAGATGTGCCTTTTGAATTGTGTTTGTTGGGGTGGTAAGGCACAACTTTTACTTTGCAGGAGAACATTTAACATTATGGTTTGTTTTGCAATTTTTTACACTTTCACTGTAACTTATCAAGCAGATCCAAAGGAATCACAAGGACATTTTTGGTGGAGCATCATATAACGCCTTGCAACCAGTTATCACAGACCTCCAGCAACAACTTACTGACCACCTGAAGAATACACATTTTTCTCTTGCAGGTTGCTGCAACTAAGGCCTTAGTACTTACATTTCCATGTGTTGTTACCTATCCCTGGACTTTCTCGCTTTATCTTATCCCAATTCCTTGAATGTCTGTGCTTGTCTCTGTATTCCCTCCTGTGTGATTATTGGCCCCAGTCTCATTGCATTCACGTGTGCCGAGTCTGTCCTGCGTGAATGTATACGCACAGTCTTGCCTCTCTTCTTGTCTGCTGCCCTCCATTTGTGTGGGTTTTTTTTTTAATTCTCTAATCAGCAACCAAATGCTTGCTTTATTGATTGGTTACCACCTACACTTCTTACATTTAGATCTTGTCTTCACCAATTTGTGGCACTTCTTGTTGACAAACATGACTTATAACATCACCACCCATCGAACCCCTTGATAGAGACTCTAAAGAGGACTTTTATCTTGCTGCAGCAAATACGGGTACAGTACTGATGAGAAAAGAGCATAATATTACACCCTGGGATGAAAAGCATATACGCAGACTGATACTGATGTATCTATTTTAGGCCAGTATCAAGCTATAATATCATAGCATACCATAGTATATTATTCTGATTCAGTTACTGGTTGTGAATGAATAAGTTATGCCTGTAAATTCTCACCTTTAGTCTCTTAGATAAATACTTTAATTGTAGTTTAAAGGTAATAGTTTACAATAAATCGACCCAAGCACTGCTAAAGCAATAACAACGATTACTACAGTATATAGTTCATTAATTAATTACATTTGCATTTAGTCAGCAAACAAAAAAGATGAGGATCACATTTTTCTGTGATTTTTTTTTTTTCTGAATCTACTCACTATGTCGAGCACTTCTTCACTGTTGACTCTGAATTTGCAGACATTTGTCATTCCATCAGTCCATTGGTGAAAAAAAAAGAAGCTACTTGCTGTTGTTGATCCTGTCCTGATTTGTCCTGCTAAAGTCATGTCGCTTGCTAATAACCTTTGTAAGACTTTGTGCTATTCAGTTTTAAAGGCTAACTCCATCATTAAAAGTCTCACCAGTCATGGGACATTACACTGACAATTAATTTGGAAATGTGTGAATAAGAAGAGGCATTAAGTCTAGATGTGCTGCAGAGCTGGTGTTGAAAACTTTCAGATACTTTGATTGGTCTTGTCAGGAGCTGGGGAGACACTACTGCAGTCATTTTAAATTAAGTATATATTTTGTGCATATTTTAGATTTTCTGCACGTACAGTTCAGATTTGGGCTAATAAGGCCACTTGGGGATTTTACGTAATACATTGTTTACAAGGATCCATGTTTCAGTCTTACACTCGCATGTTAATACACATGTTAATACAATTTACTCACTATTAAAACATTAAATCAACCCAGATAATGTGGTAAACCCAACACATTAAATTTTCATTCACTCACCATAAAATGCACTTGTGCTGTCCTTATTGCTGACTTTGACCGTGACATTGCAAAGCAAGAGTAAAGTTTGCTGGACTGTAGAAACAAAAGGGAAGCTGGAAGAGACAGCAGCTGACTGCAGAGAAAGAGGGTGAGAGGGAGAGCTCACTTTTCATTATGGAAGCTCTGATGGACAGTCTCCTGACAGAGCAGGGAGGCCATGAAGCTCCTGTGTAAGAAAGAGGCAAGGCAGGGAAGATAGGCAAGGGGTATTTTGAGAATAAAAGACATTTCCTCCAGACATGATCCCAAAAGTAAGTTATAGACATTGTTTTGCACAGCAATGTCTTCTATGTACTGTGTCAGAGTTTCCATTTTGGAAAGAAAGCTAACTTGTGCCATGCAAACTAAAGGGTTGTGCTCACTGATCAGGAGCTCAGAGATAAAAGGTTAAATATGCAGGTATGATTATTCATAGAAATAACGTCGCAGTAATCCCGCTGTATGCTAATGGCTATAATCTGCCAAGATAGCAAAATTGGTTTTACTGTCAGTGCTATCATCTCTATGGCTAAGTTTAACCCTTGATGATCTTAAATGTTCAGCACCTTGGTCAACAGTTTTTGTTTTAAATGTGCTATATAAATAAATTTGACTTTACATACTGTTTAGGCCACGTGTGTTCCCTCTTGACATTAAACAAACAGTAAAAAATAAATAAATAAACACTATCTCAATTTTAAATTGATTTGCATTAAATGGATTCTGTCAAAGATGAAAGTATTTTAAAACATTTGAGCTGCTCTGTGTCAAATCTGACCTGCATCTATTGCAAAGGATTTTCAGGTCCACCAGCATCGATCAAATCAAGAGAAATTAGCTTAGCTTCACTGCTTAGCTTCCCGCAGAGCATCTGCTCTTCTTTAAAGGGTCATGAAGAGGGACCGCAAAACAGTGACACAGTAAAAAAACATAAATGGCCCTTCATAAATGGCACCTCTGCTTTTTTGAAACCCCATTTTTC